CGGGAGGGGCGGGGGGGAGGGTGGTGGTGTTTGTTGGTGTCAGGCTCTCTCTGGGGGGGGGGAGGGACACCCTTTTTGTGTGTGCCTAGGGTTAGTGGAGAGGTAGTGGAAGGCTCTCTCGGGTGGGGTGGGGGGTCAGGGGTGTTGTTGGTAAACGCCAGGCTCTCTCTGCGGGAGGGGCGGGGGAGGGTGGTGGTGTTTGTTGGTGTCAGGCTCTCTCTGGGGGGGGGGGGCAGGGACACCCTTTTTTGTGTTGCCTAGGGTTAGTGGAGCAGTAGTGGAAGGCTCTCTCAGGTGAGGTGGGGGATCAGGGATGTTGTTGGTAAATGCCAGGCTCTCTCTGCGGGATGGGCGGGGAGGGTGGTGGTGTTTGTTGGTGTCAGGCTCTCTGGGGGGGGGGGGGGGACACAAAAATCATATAATAGGAGGTCAAACCTAACAACACTTTCAATTGTATCCAATTAAGCAGGCTCTTGCACTACATAGTTGAAGGTAAATCTAAAGGAAATTGGGCAGAAATTGTACAGAAAATTGTATAATGTATGGCCAGGCTAATATCACATATTTTTGAAAAGAGTGTCCCAATGTGCAGTGTGTATTCTTATCCATACATTTTTTCTTGCATTCTAAATTTTATATACACTTAGGTGTCCTTTTATGACACAGAGAATAGCTGTGTTTCAGAGGATCGCAGCTATTTTCTGGTCATTCACAGTTTATAACACTCAGGAGAACATGTTCAGCCCTTCACTGGAGATCTGTGTTCTCACTCCAGATTCTCCAGCCCAGAGCTGGAGAATCGGAGGGACCGCAAACTAAGCAGAGATAATTTACCTCTGCTTAGTAAACTGATCTTTTACTGTAATCTCGCGAGATTATAGTAAAATCAGCCGTTTTCCAGCATTTGTAGACCGTTCTCCAGCATTTGTAGACCGTTCTCCCTTCATTCGGAGAACTGATCTACATATGCTTCATAAACGACATTCACAGGAGAACTGTGTTCTCCGAGAATGCCGGAGAACTGAGCAGCGATCTATTACTGCTGGTTCATAAACAGACACCATAATACAATATATTTATTCAGATTTTAACATTTATACTTTTATACAAACTGTCCAGATAAGTTGGCTTCTAAAAGGATATAAAGTCCTAAATTCATGATGTAGCTCAATTTAATCTCAAACTTGCCCAACAGATTTAAAGATCTTTACGGTTCTATATTTTGCTAGAAATGAGCAAAGAAGAAGGTAACATTGTTTTGTTTTTAAAATAAGTCCAGTGTCATATATTTGAAGATATCAATGCTTAAACATTATAAACAGATGGCTGTGCAGGAACAGGCATTGCAGAGAAAAATGTATGTAAAAATGACTCTTGCTATGATGATCACAGGGTGGTCACATAGGTGTCCTTTTATGACACAGAGAAGAGCTGCGATTCAACGGATCTCAGCTATTCTCTGGTCATTCACAGTTTATGACACTCAGGAGATCATGTCAGCCCTTCGCTGGAGATCTGTGTTCTCCCTCCAGATTCTCCAGCCCAGAGCTGGAGAATCAGAGGGACCGAAAACTAAGCAGAGATAATTTACCTCTGCTTAGTAAACTGATCTTTTACTGTAATCTCGCGAGATTATAGTAAAAATCAGCCGTTTTCCAGAGTTTGTAGACCGTTCTCCAGCGTTTGGAGACCGTTCTCCCTTCGTTCGGAGAACTGCTTCATAAACTGCATTCACAGGAGAACTGTGTTCTCCGAGAATGCCGGAGAACTGAGCAGCGATCTATTACCGCTGGTTCATAAACGGACACCTTAGTCCATTAAAAACAAATGATTTACACACCCAATCATTGCAATCTACATTGTATTCTCTAATTAGAGAGTTGTAAGCTTTTTTGGGGTATTTAGCTTATTTTATAGGTTATCCCTGCCTTTGTGTATTATTTCATTTTTGTGTGTATCTGATATTATTTGTACACTGTTTTTGGTTTGAATTGATTTTTTTTTCGTTTTACTATTTTTAATTGTTTTCAAAAACAATCACCAAAAATGTCAAAATTTCACAAAAATCTCCTGATTTTAATGTAATTTTAGGGAAAGGAATGCTTTTAGTTGCACTTATACCTACTAGCAAGTGCTACCATATTCATTTTAAGGGTCTTTTTTTTTGTAATAAACTCTGATTAATTCATACATATTCAATCCATATTCACCAGTATCATTTGTTATTTTGAATGCAGAGAATAGAATGTAGATGAATGTTCAAATAGTTAACATACAGTGAATGTTTAATGTACAGCAGCGTTTTAGGGTGTGTCTGTAGATTGTCATTGAAATCATGTTTGGTGAATGTACAGTTATGTATAGTGAATATATATATGTAGCCAGGGGCGGACTGACAACTCATGGGGCCCCCGGGGCAATAGGGGATCATGGGGCCCCTGTGTCCTTGCCCACACTCAAACAAAGCCTATAAAAAGGTACCAGGGGCATCTCATGGGGCCCCCTACTGACCCCGGGCCCTCGGGCAGTGCCCGAGTTCTCGAATGGTCAGTATGTAGCTATATATAGCACATGTTTTGCTTATTTTATTATTATTATACAGGATTTATGTAGCGCCACCAGTTTGCTGAGCGCGTTACAATATAAAGGGAGACAATACAGCCACAATACAATTCAATACAAGAGGGTTAGGAGCAGGGGCGGACTGACCATTCGAGCACTAGGGCACTGCCCAAGGGCCCGGGGTCAGTAAGGGGCCCCATGACATGCCCCTGGTACCTTTTATAGGCTTTGTTTGGTGTGCTTTGAGTGTGGGCAAGGACACAGGGGCCCCATGATCCCCTATTGCCCGGGGGCCCCATGAGTTGGCAGTCCGCCCCTGGTTAGGAGGGCCCTGCCCCTTGGAGCTTACAATCAAAGATTTACAATTTATATATATATTTATATTTTTTTATTTATTTTTATATATATTTGAATGTATTCTTTATTTACTGAAAATGCAGATTTTATAAATAGTAACTTAACTATTGTGGAGAAACAGAAGCAGGTGCAGCGCTCACAGCAGAAAGCCATTCTGTATCAAACCTAGAGTCCATCAAGGGGTGCTCTGTGTCTCAGAACAGTTCTCCAACCATTATAGATCATGAAACCAAAGAGACGAATTGGCAACTCCTAAGTCCATATAAGCTGCTTTATTTATTACATCGTAGTGAGTAAAAGAGCTGACGCGTTTCGGCAGAGAGCCTTGATCACAGCTGTGATATGGACTTAGGAGTTGCCGCCTCATCTCTTCATTTTCATAGTTTAATTATTGTATGACATTGTATGAAATTGCAAAAACCTTCACTTTATTGTACAGGTGCTCTGCTTTCTGAAAATATTTAATGTTTTGGGGGTTTTTCACTGCTTTTTCATGTAAAACTGTGCAAAAAAAACCCCCCACTTTATTTTGACCTTAACGTTTGATTGATTGCATTTTGCCAAAATTGGGAAATCTGATATTTACTGATTTTCACTTAAATTTTGAGTATATGGAAACTCGGTTTCACTGATTCCTAAAAACAAGCACTGCCAGGAATAGGAAGGGTTAGTTACCAGATGCAAAGGGGCTTATTTGTTACATTTTGGTGAATCCAGATACCTCAATATTCACCAGCATTATTCACTTGTTGACTATAATGCTTTTCATTAAAGCGTTACTAAACCCAGAACCCTGCATTCACTATATCCGCTCTCCCCGGATCCTGCATTCACTATATCTGGTGTCCCCGGACCCTGCATTCACTATATCCGGTCTCCTCGGACCCTGCATTCACTATATCTGGTCTCCCCAGACCCTGCATTCACTATATCTGGTCTCCCCGGACCCTGTATTCACTATATCTGGTCTCCCCAGACCCGGCATTCACTATGTCTGGTCTCCCCCGGACCCTGCATTCACTATATCTGGTCTCCCCAGAATTCACTATGGCTGTTCTACCCGGACCCTGCATTTACTATATCCTGTCTCCCCGGACCCTGCATTCACTATATCCTGTCTCCCCAGACCCTGCATTCACTATATCTGGTCTCCCCCGGACCCTGCATTCACTATATCTGGTCTCCCCGGACCCAGCATTCACTAAGTCTGGTCTGCCCGGACCCTGCATTCACTATATCTGGTTTCCCTGGACCCTGCATTCACTATATCTGGTCTCCCCGGACCCTGCATTCACTATATCAGGTCTCCCCGGACACTGCATTCACTATATTTGGTCTCCCCAGACCCGGCATTCACTATATCTGGTCTCCCCGGACCCTGCATTCACTATATCTGGTCTCCCACAGTACACAGAACATGGAAATGCAATTATTTTAGTAGTAAATATAAACTGCTAAATACCTTTTTCTCATCAGCACTTTAGTGCAGTCTTGTGACATCTATCAGTGTCCAGCAGAGCACTGGTTAAAGCTTGAAGGAGGAATTTTCATTCTGCTCTAGGAGGATGCAGGATCCCTGACCTCTGTCTGGACAATGCTGATTGGCCCTGTGCTGATCACATGCACTCTCCCAAGAAAAAAAAAAAGCCTCTCTAGCAATACACACCAAATTGAGCATGTGCAGAGTGACTCTGCACCATATATCTTATCAGGAGATAAGAGGGGGGCACTGGAAGAGGGGGAGAATCAGAGAAGTCAGGCTCAGGCACCATATGGAGGATTAACCCCTTAGGTTCCACACTGAGTATAACAAGCATGCTTTACTGCATATACAGACGGATTTTACTGTTGTGGGTTTAGTAACACTTTAAAAAAACACATTTATGCAGATATCTCCAGATTTTGTGCAGAAATTTAGATGTATAATAAACTCTCAGTTTTGCTCATGGCATGTTTGCTGAGGCTGGCCAATAGAGTGATCTTACAGCTAGGTCTCATCTAGAGGGGTGCCATGCCTTTCTATAAATGACCTTTGGCTGGTCTACCATCTACCGAGCACTAACCATGTTTTCCTTCCCACAGGCAGCGGGCAGATACAGCTGTGGCAGTTCCTCCTAGAACTTCTGTCTGATCACTCCAATGCCAACTGCATTGCCTGGGAGGGCACCAATGGAGAGTTCAAGCTGACCGATCCCGATGAGGTTGCCAGGCGCTGGGGGGAGCGGAAGAGCAAACCCAACATGAATTACGACAAGCTCAGCCGCGCCCTGCGCTATTACTACGACAAGAACATCATGGCCAAAGTACACGGAAAGAGATACGCCTACAAATTCGACTTCCATGGCTTGGCGCAAGTGTGCCAATCTGCACCCACCACCGAACAGTCGCTTTACAAATTCCAAAGCAACCTACCACACTTACCTTTCCCTGGCCTCTCGAAACTTAACCTCATGGCCTCCGGTGTCTCTCCGGCCAGCTTCTCTTATTGGCCAAGCACCCCCTCGGCCCTGTATCCTGGGCACAATCTCCAGGTCCCTCCGGGGGGGTTTGGTTCTGTGTCCACCCAACATCTTGGCTCTGTCAGCAGCGTGGGCAACATGAGTGCCCATTACCATTAACCGGACCAGTATGGACCAGGGGCGGACTGACCATTCAAACACTCGGGCACTGCCCGAGGGCCTGGGGTCAGTAGGGGGCCCCATGAGATGCCCCTGGTACCTTTCATTGGCTTTTTCATAGGCTTGTTGGGTGTTGGTGAGGACACAGGGGCCCCATGATCCCCTATTGCCTGGGGGCCCCATGAGTTGTCAGTCCGCCCCCTGGTATGGACTGAGAATATTCAGTGTCATGGTCACATTGCATTCATTCACAATAATAATGATGACATCAAAGTGTATTAGGCAACTTCTCAAAAGCCCAATGAAGCACATGTGTCAGGAGGCAGGGAGGCAGGGATTGGCCACGCATATGTATTAACATACTTTTTTTTTTTTGAAAGGCACGTGTAAAAGCTCATGAAAAGATCTGATCAATATCTGTTCAATATTTGTTCCTGATATAGTTTGTAATCATATATGTACCTGAAGGGCAGCCAGTCACTCATTACGTGTGTTTCCTGCTTAGTAGTGCTGTACAATGGTTGGGCCTTGCCATTCTTCTCTATTGGTCTACTTAAAAAGCCCACCCCGAGGCCTATATTCCTTCCCCTTAAATCACAGCCCTCCCACGCAGAGGCATGCATTGTATGTTACAATTTTCCAAAGTCTTCAGCCAGGTCAATGGACTCGCTGGTTTTTCTCTTTGTTTTTCTTTGGGTAGTGGGTGGTCCTTGCTGATGCAGAGAGTGGCACTGATGTTATCACAGATCTCTTCATCATTACACTGTGAATGTTACAACGCTGCTGTTAGAAGCCATGGGGCCCCTTACAGCCAACCTGACAGGGCCCCCCCAAACCACAGGGCCCCATACAGCCAACCTGACAGGCCCCCCCCAAACCACAGGTCCCCATACAGCCAACCTAACAGGGCACCCCCCCATCCCCACAAAAAAAACCAAAACACAGTTTACTAGGCTTCAGTTATGAATGAACACAGCGAGTGATCAGTACCGATCACTCATTGTGTTAATTCAGGAATGGAAGGGACTGGTAAATTACTGGAACCGATCCCCTATATATTTCTCTCTGCAACGCTGCTGTTAGAAACCATGGGGCTGCTTACAGCCAACCTGACAGTCCACCCCCCCCCCCAAACTACAGGGCCCCATACAGCCAACCTAACAGGGCACCCCCCCATCCCCACCAAAAAAACACAGTTTACTAGGCTTCAGTTATGAATGAACACAGCAAGTGATCGGTACCATTCACTCATTGTGTTCATTAAGGAATGGAAAGGACTGGTAAATTACTGGAAGCGATCCCTATATATTTTTTCTCTGCAATGCTGCTGTTAGAAACCATGGGGCCCCTTACTGCCAACCTGACAAAGCCCCCCTCAAACCACAGGGCCCCATACAGGCAATCATACAGGACCCCCCCCCCCCCATCCCCACAAAAAAAAACACAGTTTACTAGGCTTCAGTTATGAATGAACACAGCGAGTGATTGGTACCGATCACTCATTGTGTTCATTCAGGAATGGAAGAGACTGGTAAATTACTGGAACCTATCCCATATATATTTCTCTCTACAGCAGCTGAAAGCCATTCGGGGGGGGGGGGGGGGGGAGGAAGCAGAACCCAGATTTCAGCTTAATTGCCCCGTAATTGCCCCGTTCACCCTTCCTGCCCACAACCGAGTCGCCCAGCTGCCTGGCCCCCCCTGCAGGTCTTGGCCCCATACAGGAGGACTGGTGGTACCCCCTTATCCACGGCCCTGCTGGCACTGCCTGGGAGGGATGAGGGGTGGGCGGTGATGCTACTCATCATTCAGTCTGAAAGTCTGAGGACATCTTGTGCTGAAAAAACAGGTACTGCAGGGGACAGCCTCACTTTGAAGCTGAGCATTGAGTAGCTTCTTCTTTTAAGAACCTGATGGGGCTCCATGTTTTAAATTGCTAAGTCTGTCAGTCTGGTGTGACTAAGGCTTCACACACATGGGTGCATTTGCCCATGTACCTTAAACATGCTGCCTCTTTCTGGTGCTCAGGATGTCTTAGAACTGAGTACAACCACCCATAGACATTAATGGGTGAAAACGGTTATATGCAGCTATGCACAGACTTAATGGGGGGGATTTACTAAAACTGGAGCACTCAGAATCTGGTGCCGCTGTACATGGCAGCCAATCAGCTTCTAACTTCAGCTTGTTCAATTAAGCGGTGACAATAAAACCTGGAAGTTGATTGGTTTCTATGCACAGCTGCACCAGATTCTGCACTCTCTAGTTTTAGTAAATCCCCTCCCAATATCTCTAAAGCAGGTACTGTGGGAGACTGTGTATGTAATACAAAAAAGTAATGTACAGAAAGTATATAAATTGTGAATTGTACATCAAATGTACCTCAATTTAAACATTAAAAAAATATCCTCAGTTCTCCCTAAAATATATACGTAATAGACAGGCACCTGAGTCAGGATTGAAAAGCAAGCCTAGAAATGCAGAGTCTACCTGTCAAAGGATTCCTTTTATTGGTGGTCTGTTGATCTGGGAACACCTTTTTCTTTCCCATTGGCACTGCAGCAGAGGTGTTCCCAAACACACCCACTACAGACTTCCTGCTGTCCCAGTCACATGCTGTACCAAAGTGACTGTACCAAGAATGTCATGGTGGCCAGTGCTGAGTTTAAAAACCTTCAGACTTCAGAAGGACTTCAGCCTTCCGATTTGTAGAATACACCCGTCCATTGCATTACTACACATGTGCAAACGTGAGATATTTTGTTTGTTATATACTGTGTGTGTTGTGTAAAAAAGAGGTCACTTTTTTTCATAGTTTTTTAATGCAGCACACAGCATGCGTTATTTACTGAACACACGCACCGTGACCGTCGATACCAATCACGTCTTTTTTTTTTACAGGCAATGCCACATATGCCACAGCATGCGTGTGCAGTGCAGGTTTTTTGGCACCTACCGTACTTCTGCTTGTGATGTCATTCTAAATGAAAGTCATCGCGACGCACCAGGAAAAGCTCATTGGGGCAATGCACAAAAGGATCCACATTTCACCAGTCTATGGGATTGATTTCCTAAAACTGGAGAGTGTAAAATCTGGTGCAGCTCTGCATAGTAACCAATCAGCTTCCAGTTTTTTTTTGTCAAAGCCTAACCCCTTTGTGCCCGAGGGTAAAACAAATGTGAATGCCTAAGCACAATTTTGCAACGTTGACCTGTGTTAGTAAAACTGTACATTTGATCACAACTACTGCATCCAGGGGGATCATACCTTGGATTTTTTCAGGACATATTTGGTGGTAAATGGTAACAAATCTCTCCTGGTTTGTTTTATTATCACAAAAAAAATTGGCCCAAAATAGTGGGGAAAAAATGTTTTTAATGTAGCTGTATGTTTCATGTTATTACTGTAACCTACCACCAAAGATCCACCCAAAATAAATTCTCCTGCTCCCGACGATTGCAGCGATACCACATATGTGTATCCCAGCACAAAGACAGATATACGTATATACGGCCCCACGGGAAAAAATCCGGTCCAGGGGGGCTGCCTAAATGCATGTGGTCGATGCAAAACGGGTTCATTGAACAAACTGAAATTAGAAGCTGATTGGCTATCATGCACAGCTGCTCCGGATTTTCTGCCTCCAATTAAATCCCTATGGGTCCTTTCACACGGGTGTTCCGTTTTTTTTTTTCATCAGTTCAGTTGCATTTTTTAATTTTTTGTAAATCGGAGCTAAACGGATCAAGACTTCACTTTTTACCTCCATTTACATCCGTTTTTCATCCATCTACACCCACTTTTCATCGGTTTTTTGATCATTTAAATCCATTTACATCCGTTTGTGATCCATCTACATCCACTTTTCATCCGTTTTTGATCCATTTAAATACGTTTACATCTGTTATTCATCCATCTACATCCACTTTTCATCCATTTTTTGATCCATTTAAATTTGTTTACATCCGTTGTTGATCCATCTGCATCCACTTTTTATCCGTTTTTGATCCATTTAAATCCATTTACATCCGTTTGTGATCCATCTACATCCACTTTTCATCCGTTTTTGATCCATTTACATCCGTTTGTGATCCATCTACATCCACTTTTCATCCAATTTTTGATCCATTTAAATTTGCTTACATCCCTTTTTTATCCATCTACATCCACTTTTCATCTGTTTTTGATCCATTTAAATCCATTTACATCCGTTTGTGATCCATCTACATCCACTTTTCATCCATTTTTTGATCCATTTAAATTTGTTTACATCCGTTTTTGATCCATCTACATCCACTTTTCATCCGTTTTTGATCCATTTAAATCCGCTTACATCCGTTTTTCATCCATCTACATCCACTTTTTATCCGTTTTTTGATCTATTTAAATCTGTTTATATCCCTTTTTCATCCATCTACATCCACTTTTCATCTGTTTTTGATCCATTTAAATCCTTTTACATCCGTTGTTGATCCATCTACATCCACTTTTTATCGTTTTTGATCCATTTAAATCCATTTACATCCGTTGTGATCCATCTACATCCACTTTTTATTCCGTTTTTGATCCATTTAAATCCGTTTACATCTGTTTTTCATCCATCTACATCCACTTTTCATCCGTTTTGATCCATTTAAATCCATTTACATCCGTTTTTGATCCATCTACATCCACTTTTCATCCGTTTTTGATCCATTTAAATCCATTTACATCCGTTATTGATCCATCTACATCCACTTTTTATTCGTTTTTGATCCATTTAAGTCCATTTACATCCGTTTGTGATCCATCTACATCCACTTTTTATTCATTTTTGATCCATTTAAATCCGTTCACATCTGTTTTTCATCCATCTACATCCACTTTTTGACCGTTTTTCATCCATTTAAATCTATTTACATCTGTTTTTTCATCCATCTACATCCACTTTTCATCTGTTTTTTGATCCATTTAAATCTGTTTCCACATCCTATTTTTTGATCATCCATCTACATCCACT